TGCTTTTTTTCCTTCCAAGACTACTGTTAGGAATAGCCTGTATTTGGAACTATTTTCACCCAAGGCTTTGCCCTGCTCCAGGTGCCTCCAGAAGGAAGACTGTGTAAGATCTGCAGGCCATAACTAATTAAGACTCTGTTTTTCTTCATTTTCTAATAATCCTTTTGGCTCAGCTTTCTGTAGTCACCAAATTATTTGAGATTTCCATGAGAGCTTTTATTAAGAGATGATAAAAACAGTAGTGAAGAAAAAGCAAGTTAGCATAAGAAGTTCTAAATATTTCATATATTAATACCTTTTCAATGAATGATTCTCTAAAATATATGTTCTGTTTTATTGGCTTTCTTTCTTCTTTTTTTTTTAAGATTTATTTATTTATTCATGATAGAGAGAGAGAGAGAGAGGCAGAGACACAGGAGGAGGGAGAAGCAGGCTCCATGCCGGGAGCCCGACTTGGGACTCGATCCCGGGACTCCAGGATCGCACCCTGTGCCAAAGGCAGGTGCCAAACCGCTGAGCCACCCAGGGATCCCTTTTACTGGCTTTCTGATATGCCATTTCATTTTTTAAAAATTTATTTGAGAGAGAGTGCACGAGCAGGGGGAAGGACAGAGGAAAAGGGAGAAAGAGAATCTCAAGCAGACTCTGCAGAGCATGGAGCTGACTTGGGGCTTGATCTCACCACCCTGAGCTGGAATCAAGAGTCGGACCCAGGTGCCCCAGCACTGCATTTCTAATTGCTTCTCTACAAGAGTACATAGAATTCACCTTTCCTTTTACTTCTTACCACAGGTCAGAAACACAGCCACTTTTCAGTTAAGAAAAATTCAATTTTAATGATCCAGAGATTCCTCAGCCTTTATTTCTACTAATTAGAAAATAATGTTGGTACTGAAACTTTTGGAGGTGTCCCATGTAGGCCACTCCCCATACTCCCAGAAAAAGGCACCTTGTTACTTTCCTTCACATGACGACACATAAGGGGTTATTTATTTTTCTAACAAAATGAATTTCGTAAGAATTAGTTTCTGAAATCTAAATTCTAAGAATTATTTTTCTGAAATACTACTTTTAGATAGTTCTTCATTTACTACATTCCTTTGCATAGTGAGCTGTCACAAAAGATCTCACTTAAAGGGTGTCCTGTATCTAGAAAGCTGACGGCTGCCACAGTGTAAGGAAGTCTCCTCTCGGCCTCACACATAGAGCGCTGAGTTGTGATGGGCAGTGTTTTCAACAACGTCCCTGTTGTCAACACAGAAGCCTTCTGAACTGAGCCGGATGCTTCTCTAATGGAAGCCAAGACCTAACTCCAAGCCAGTTCATTGAAACAACTTTGTGAAGAGTGGGAGAAACGCACCCTGAGGGCACACAGGCCACTGAGAGTCAGGCTTGACCCAGTTCAGATGTTGAGAAGTACAGAAGAGTTATCCTTTAGCGGTCCCCCACGAATTTGTCCCTTGGTTTGAGGCTTTGATTAAAATGACAGCATGTGGAGTGTGTGCAGGACATGTCCTTATGCTGTGGCTGGTGGTTTCTTATGAATGTTAAAGACATTCAGGGCTTGCGCCTGGTGAGGCAGCCTCTCCCCAACCTGCCACTTGCTTCTAGCGACTCAACCAGCCATATCCATCAGGCCTTCCTGTTTCAGGAACAGCCTGAAAAGCCCACGTTTCTGTTATAATAAATCACTGCTATACACTCTCTTCGCTGCTATTCCCCACATCCCCACCCCCACCCAGTGTAGCACAAAATTATATCTGTTTATCTGGAGATCAGATGGATTTTTTTGATTATTTTAATTCCAGTTAATATACAGTGTAATATTAGGTTCAGGTGTACAACATACTGATTCAGCACTTAACTACATCACCCGGTGCTCATCATGATAAATGCACTCCCCTCTGGTAACTATCCATGTGTTCTCTAGAGTTAAGAGTCTGTTCCTTGGTTTCTTTTTTTTCCCCTTTGCTCATTTGTTTTGTTTCTTAAATTACACATGCGAGTGAAATCATGATAATTTCTTTCTCTGACTTATTTCACTTTGCATAATACCCTCTAGTTTCATCCACATCATTGCCAATGGCAAGATTTTCTTTTCTTTTTATGGCCGTGTAATCTTCCATTGTGTAAAGATGACACCATGTGATCTTTATTCATTCATCCATCAGTGGACACTTGGGCTGCTTCCATATCTTGGCTATTGTAGATAATGCTGCTGCAAATATTGGGGTGCATGTATTCCTTTGAATTAGTATTTTGTGGGGTTTTTTGGATAAATACCCAGTTAATATGATTGCTGCGTTATAGGATAATTCTATTTTTAACTTCTTGAAGAACCTCCATACTGTTTTCCAGAGTGGCTATACCAGCTTATTCCCACCAACAGTGTAAGAGGGTTCCCCATTTCTCTGCATCCTCACCAACATCCATCCTTTCTTGAGTTGGTGATTTTAGGCATTCTGACAGATGTGAGGTAGTATCTCATTGTGGTTTTGATTTGTGTTTCCCTGATGATCAGTGATGTTGGGCATCTTTTTATGTGTCTGTTGCCCATCTGAATATTGTCTATAGAGAAATGTCTGTTGATGTCTTCTGCCCATTTCTTAATTTGATTATTTGGATTTTGGGTGTTGAGTGGTATCAGTTCTTTGTATATTTTGGATACTAACCTTTTATCAGATTTGTTATTTGCAAATATCTTCTCCCATTTAGTAGTTTGCCTCTTAGTTTTGTTGATCATTTCCTTTCTGTGCGGAAGCTTTTTACTTTGATGAAGTCCCAATAGTGTGTTTTTGCTTTAATTTCCCTTGCCTCAGGAGACAAATCTATAAAGTTACTATAGCTGATGTCACAGAAATTACTGCCTGTACACTTTGCAAGGATTTTTATGTTTTCAGGTTTTCACATTTAGATCTTTAATCTATTTTGAATTGATTGATTTGTTAATATTGAACCACATTTGTACCCTGAGGATAAATCCCAGTTGATTGTTGTAAATGGCTTTTTTGATGGTACCATTGAATTCAGTTTGCTTGTATTATATTGAGCATTTTTGCATCCATGTTCATCAGAGATATTGGCCTATAGTTCTCTTTTTTTGTGGAGTCTTTATCTGGTTTGGGTATCAAGATCATGCTGGACTCACAGAATGAATTTGGGAACTTTTCCTTCCTCTTAATATTTTTTGGAACAGATACATACTGGTTTTTTATTACCAAAATAAATGATAAAGATGTAGGAACTTCCCAAAGGTCCATTCAGTTGCAGATTTGAACTTCAGAACTTAATTCCTGGTCCAGTGTTGAAGAACAATACCTGTACCGAGAAGTGGACTTATCATTAAATACACAACTGCATGAGTTTCAATAAACAAAACCTCCAGAAAAAGGAAGAGAACATTACTGGTTATATTTCTAGAGTAGTGGTTGCCAGGGCTGGAGGGGGAGGCAGCGGGAGGGCCGGTGGCTCATACATCCAGCCTCCTTTGGGGAAGATGAAATGAACTCTAAAGACGGTTGCACAATACCGTGAATGTATTTAATGCTGCTAAACCATACACTTAAAAATGGTTAAACCTGGGATCCCTGGGTGGCGCAGCGGTTTGGCACCTGCCTTTGGCCCAGGGCGCGATCCTGCAGATCCGGGATCAAATCCCACATCGGGCTCCCGGTGTATGGAGCCTGCTTCTCCCTCTGCTTGTGTCTCTGCCTCTCTCTCTCTCTCTCTGTGACTATCATAAAAAATAAAATAAAATAAAAAATAAAAAATAAATGGTTAAACCGATCACTTTTGCTAGGCAACTTTTACCACAAAAAAAGAGAGAGGAGAGATCATCACTAGAGCCTCAGAAGCTGTACTCCTTCCTTCCAGCCTCAACCTCCAACCCCCAACCCCTGATCCCAGCACCCCCTTGCACCTCACGGCTGACTGACTGTACTGAAACCCTTTAGTTATAAGGGCCCGGCAGTCTGGCTATCTAGCTTCAGGCACAGCTGGAGGGAGAAAAGAAGAAAGCAGTGTGATTGTTTGCCTGAGGTCCCTCAGGGTTTATTCCCCACCCCCACTCCACCGCCCCCCACCCCCATGATGCCGATTAAGTGGGAACCATGGCAACAGTTTCTGGAACTTGTGTTGGATGAACATTTGCGTTTTATTGAGGAACAGCCAATGCATGGTTTGTGAAGTGAAATGCCAGCAAAGTGAGGTGGGGGACATACACACAGGACGCTCTGCACCCGCTCTAGTGTCCAGCGCCCGGCCTCCGCTCCGCACACCCACACAGTGATGTGTGCCTTGAGGCTTATCACAGAAGCCTCTCTTCTTTGCTGTTTCTTCGACTATTTCCTAAGTGATGTCTGCTACAACGGATGGACTGTATGCAGCGTCTGTGTGAGTTATGCATCGAACCAGAAAGCAGAAATTCACAGACCTGACATCTAACTACGTCATGATTTTAAGTCACTGAAACATCATTACATGTGTGGTGTGTGCCGGCCAGGCGCCGTGGTCAGTGTCGCTGGAATTCTCAGCGCGTCCTGACGTCGGCCCTTTCCGGTGCCCATCAGTATGTGAGCCACAGGGCACCGGCAGCAAGGTCTGGAGGGAGTCTGGGACAACAGTAGTGGCACTCCCTCCGGTCGCAGTCATGGTTCTGCCCGCCTGGCCAGCCAGGGCGGCGATGCTGGGGCTAGGTGCTGCCTGATGTTTGCCGTATTTAATCGGCCAGAGGGAAGGTGTTTGGAAAGCTCGAGGCTGTGCGTTCTGTCCTTGCTGCACAGGTTCCCCAGACCCCACGGGATCAGTCGTTTGCCTTTAGGTTTCTGAGTGTTGGAGTCTGCTTCCTGACCTTGTTTCTTTAGGTTGAAAGCTATAGAATCGCACAGCGCTGGTCCGATCAGTGGCACTCATTCAGTCAGGCAGTCATCACCACTCATGAAGAACCTATGCTGTGGAAAAGTTCTTGGAAGCCTCAGTGAAAACCGAGTTTTCTCTCTTAGAACGGCACCAGACCCCCCTTGGATGCCGATGTAAACTTGGAAGCCCTTGCTGCTGACCTGCGCTGTGACTGCTACTCGTGAGTACCTGGGTCTCAAGGGCATCACCTCTCATGGGCAGAGTGGGGGGACGGCGGTCTCGTGTAGGGGCTTAAATTCTGGATCCCAGAGAGCGCAGGGTGCCTTGTGTTTGGCTCTGTCCTGGCTCCTCCTGAGAGGGGGCATGACCCATTTTGCGGCTCCTGTTCTGACATGCTTTGGCCCTCAGCACATCAACTCCTGCGTTCACTGTTGGCACCCGGCCACCCTGGCCACTGTGGCTGCCCTTCTTCCAGATGTGAGCAGATGTGTGCAGCACTGAAGAGAATAATCTGTGAGCGCTTCACTTTCAGAATGCAGAAGGCTCAGAATGCATTTTTCACAGCATACCGGCTAACACACGCAGCCCGTAGTAGCAGCAGGAAATCTGCCCTTTCTGCCTATACCCCTCTTGTTTGTGTGGTCATGGTTTTTATTATTTGCTTTACATTAAGTAAATGTGTTAACTTTCCCACTTTGGGTACACAGAGCAGAAAATGAAACTCCCATTTCACTAACAGGGAGATGGCAACGGCCCCTCTGGCTTATATGGAAAGCGCTGTGGATTGGTTATTCTCAGTATACTTGGTGCTTATGCTATTTCTTTAGGTCAAAACAAAATGTGTTTTCTGAAGCCAAGCAAGTAAGGCGATGTTTCCTTTTTTCTTTTTTCTTTTTTAAGATGTATTTATTTCAGTTAGAAAGAGTACAGGGGGTAGGGGGAGAGGGAGCAGACTTCCTGCTGAGCCTGGAGCCTGACCAGGACTTAGGACCCTGAGATCATGACCTGAGCCGAAACCAAGAGTCAGATGCTGAACCACCTGCACCACCTGGGCGCCCCTGGGACATGGTTTTCATGTTCAAGGCATTCAGGACTCTTACTCCATAATTTGAACTTACATCCCCGCAACAGACCTGCTGGGAGCAGTTGGCACTCAGTTATTTCCGGTTCTGATTGAAGAAGTTCATCTCGTCAAGATGGTTGCCCTGGAACCCACGCTGATCATTCTCAGGGAGTGTGGTCAGGATACATTGTTTTATCTTATTTTTTTATATATGGGCATCCAGGGCCACCAGCCTCTTCTCTCATCTGGCTATCTTCGCTCAGGTGCAAAGGCAGGGATTATCTTGATGACATGCTGAGCGCTAGGTGGTAGTGGTGAGCCCCTTCCTCCCTCTAAGGAGAGTGCGTTGCCCCTCACCCTCCACCCCTGTTGGGGCTCAAACTTGTACAATTAAATGAGCTCACTATTAAGGGGGGAGAAGACTTAAGGGGGTAGTTTACAGCTTTGAGTGCTAAAAATCCAGAGCCAGTTTAATGCCAGAACTTACCCTGGGCCACATCTTCTGGATTCTGTGGTGTAGGGCACAGGTTTAAAAAGGGATCAGGGTTAACGCTGAATGGTGTACAATTGGAGTTTTAATACTGTGGTCCCCACGATTCGAGAGACCTAGGATTCTCCATTGTTGTCAGCTGCTTATTTATGTTAGGTCAAGGTGTCTCTGCACCTGTGGGAGATGTTTAAATATTAAGGAAAGGGATGAGTACCCAGCATGTACTCGATTATTGCACAGCCTTATAAACCTGACACCTAGCCACAGAAACGTTGCATTCAGCTAATAATTTAAACTCTGTGGGCATTTAATGTTATATATTAAGTGGATGTCTACATTATACATTAAGTTTAATGTCTACATTAAGTTTACATTATACATTAAGTTTAATGTCTAGAAATGAAGTTTTTATCCCCAGGTCCAAACTCTCCTAACGAGCTGCGAGAATTCGTTAAAGATAATGATGTAGTGAAACACTGGTGAACTCAGGAACCATATATGACTCATCATGTTATCACACAGAGTAATTGGATGGAGGCTTATTAGCTGTCCTCTTTTAATTCATTTATGACCAGTCCACTCAGCGAGGGCTTGAGTCAGAGCATTAGAGATTCTCTAGCCTGTGCATCCCCCTTTTGAAGCAGATGCCGTAAATGAGTATGATGTAAGCTTACTCCTGGCAGTAGGTAGGTAGGTAGGTAGGTAACATGTGGATACTCAACACGCTGGCAGCATAGGCCTTGTGGATGGAGATTTTACCATGAATGTGTACGTTTCTACTGACAGGCCAATTCATTTATTTTTTTTTTAAGATTTATTTATCTATTCATGGGAAACACAGAGAGGCAGAGACACAGGCAGAGGGAGAAGCAGGCTCCCCATGGGGAGCCCGATGCAGGACTTGATCCCAGGACCCCGAGATCACACCCTGAGCCAAAGGCAGACGCCCAACCACTGAGCCACCCAGACATCCCCTGGCCAATTTATTTAGATTTCTTACATGAACCTTAATATCTGCAGCTGTTAGCAGGGGAACACTGATGATTCATTACATTGTTTCCGTTGTAATCACCCTTCTGAAAGCTAGAAATATTTGAAGTAAAAACGATAAGCTCTTTCCTGCTGACCATAACGAGTGGTCAGTTTCTTCCTCGTCTGATTTGTGACTTGAAACTGCTGTCAGACATCTTTCTGTTCTTTGCAGCATTGTAGAATAATTGAGGTCGGTTCTTGTCCTACAGGGGTGCAGACCTTTCTGCTTTGGTTCGGGAAGCTTCCATCTGTGCCCTGAGACAGGAGATGATGAGACCGAAAGGCGGAGGTGACAGAGGTATGGTGCTTTCTGGAGTCTCTCCGTTCCATGTCATTGTCACTCTGGACACCTCATTCCACAGCTGACCCAGACAGTGACCATTCTCTCAAGTCTGTGGCATTAAAGCTGATGTGTTTCTGATGAGGCCATTCCCCTAGGCTTCACCTGGCATAGTATCTGTGGCAGCCGGCTGGTAGCCTGTAGACGCTGTCTGCACATAGACCGTCCTGGCCTCAACCTGTGCTTCCACCCAGAGTTCATGCAGCATGTTTCCAAAACACAACTTTTTTTTTATTCCCACTGATTTTCTCTGTCTTCTCTCCCTTTTTTCTTTGGCTCACAGGAATCTCAGAGCGACCTTTTGATTACAGTTACAGTGGCATCTGTGTCTCTTGAGTTTTGTCAGCACACATACCTTCTATAAAGTCCTGTGGTTTTATTGAATTTTAAGATGCAGTTATCTGAACTTTTATTAAAAGCTATTTCAGATTCTTCTTGGAGTATATAAGTGATCAGTCACTAAATCCTACTCCTGAAACCAGTATTATGCTATATGTTAACTAACTAGAATTTAAATAAAAATTTGGAGAGGAAAAAAAAAGAAAATATTAAAAGATTTTTTTTAACAAAATTTAAAAATTCCTTTTAGAAGTAGGTGTTATAATTCACAAAATTAGAATACCTTGTAAGAAACTTCATGTAAGGGCAGCTCTGGTGGCTCAGCAGTTTAGCACCTGCCTTCGGCCCGGGGCGTGATCCTGGGGACCCAGGATCGAGTCCCACATCGGGTATCCCCGCAGGGAGCCTGCTTCTCCCTCTGCCTGTGTCTCTGCCCCCCCCCCTGTGTCTCATGAATGAATTTAAAAAAAAATCTTTAAGAAAAAAAGAAACTTCATGTAAGTGTGCTGCCTGAGAGCAGAGTCTGATGGCATCTTGGGATTTGTCACTGAAAATTTGCAGACCTCTCTACACATACTGGCTGCTCCTAACGTCTGTTTGGATATTTTATAATCGTTCAGCAAGTTCTGACACCCGTGCTCTCCTGGAGTTTGCATTTCTAGTTACCTGTCCTCTAGGGACTTTGCATTGACGTCTTCCTCTCCAAAATCAGTAGCACTATTCACCTTCCACTTGACATGTTCAGCTGTGCATTTTCTTTTTAGGTAAACATGGTATCCTAATATCTGTGAGGATCACTGTTTTCATTGTCGTTGTGTAACCTGTCATATGAACATTCTAAAGAAGCCTTGTTCAACATATAGTTATTTGATTTCCATTACTTCTATCGTGGCACAGCCTTCTAAAGTAGTAGGGCCCCTTCTGATGCAGGGTTGCAACGTTATTCCTGTATATAACTAACATATGTTATGAAATAACTCCGTAATATCTGATAGTGCATATGTACTCTTTTTTTTTTTTTAAAGGTTTTATTTATTTATTCATGAGAGACAGAGAGAGAGAGAAAGAGGTAGAGACACAGACAGAGGCAGAAGCAGGCTCCATGCAGGGAGCCCGACATGGGACTCGATCCCAAGTTTCCAGGATCAGGCCCTGGGCTGAAGGCAGCGCTAAACCGCTGAGCCACCAGGGCTGCCCTGCATATGTACTCTTAAATAACTGGAATATTATTATTTTCCACTCCCAGTTAAATTATTTGAATTATCTTAGAAAGGAACAATTCTGGCTCTTCATTAAACATTACCATTAAATTAAGGTGTAAACAGTGCAAAGAGGGGCCTTCAGAGGATGTCTGTTTGAGAGTGCTAAGTCTCTTTGGGGTGCCCTGCATTAAAACCTGATGAGCAGAGGGTCAGGAAATGGAGATGCTCTAAGATGAACAAGTTCTGGGAATCAGATGTTTAGGACAACTACAATTAACAGTATGTATTATATACTTGAAAGATGTGGGATGCCTGGGTGGCTCAGTGGTTGAGCGCCCTGCTTTTGGCCCAGGGCATTAATCCTGGGACTCCACACACCAGGCTCCCTGCATGAAGCTTGCTTCTCCCTCTGCCTCTGTCTCTCTGTGTCTCTCATGAATAAATAAATAAAATCTTCAAGAAAAAAAAAAAGATTTTAAAAGGGTAGATCTTAAAAGTTATTACACACAAAAAAACTAATCATGTGAGGGATGGAGGTGCTAAACTAATATTTGTGGTGATCCCGTTACACCACATATGTGTCTGAAATCGTCATAGTTAAAGCCTTAGACTTACATATGTTATATGTCAGTGACATCTCAGTAAACAGTGAGGGTTATGAAGACATGGATTTTCTCCTTTTAAAGGGTAATAATCTCTCTCTAATTAAAGATGAACAAAAATTTGTCCCCAAATAAACTGTTTTGATTGCTGGAGGGGAAAAATGAGACTAAAATGGACACTGATGTAGATAAAACTTAAGCATATTTTGAAATTAACTCTGGTCAGATGTGTGTAAATTAAATGAAAATGAAAAAAAATCCAAAAGCTCTGATGAGCACAGCGGATCAGGCTTGCCTACTACCCTTCTGAAACCTCCATGCTACCTCACCCACCTGGAAGGGTCGGGAGAAGCTTGGAGCCAGTGACGTTTGGCATGCTGCACTCAGGGGCATTTGTGATTTGCTCCACAGGTGAACTCAAGGTCAGTCAGAAACACTTTGAAGAAGCTTTCAAGAAAGTGAAATCCTCTATATCAAAAAAGGTAAGAAATGCTCTTAACGTGTATGGAGAAGAGAGATTGGAATCGAGATCAATGGATATGAATTTATGGAAACAAGGAAAATAATTGCCTTTGGGGGAGTGATCCTGAGAGATTATAGATTTACATGTTTCTTGAAAGACTGAAGCCGCAGAGGGCGCCCCTGGTGGCGCAGTGGTTTAGTGCTGCAGGGTGTGATCCTGGAGACCTGGGATCGAGTCCCGCGTCAGGCTCCTTGCATGGAGCCTGCTTCTCCCTCTGCCTGTGTCTCTGCCTCTCTCTCTCTCTCTCTCTGTGTCTCTCATGAATAAATAAATAAAATATTAAAAAAAAAAAAAGACTGAAGCCGCAGGGAGGGTGTATGTCTTTTCCACCGTCTTGGGAATTTTAATCTGTCTGGTCCACATGTCCCTTGACCTGCTCCACCCTTCATGACGTGACGTCTCTTATCTACCTGGAGCCAGGCGCCCCCAGCACCAGGGACTTGTCCACGTGTCTCAGGCGGGTACAGATGTCCTCACTGCAAGGTCAGAAAAGGGCCAATTACATGGCCCGCTGTTCTTTACATAAAGCACCAGACCTTGTGTGTCTGCTTCTTACCACAAGGAGGTATTCTGTTTGTAGTGTGAGGATGGCTGCTGCGACAGTTGGCAGCGATGCACCTGGCCCTAAGAAACACCTGACTCAAGTCCTTCCCTGATGAAGCTTGCTCACTTGGATGTCTTGTTTCAGGGCTCCTGGAAATGTAATGTACCTTAGCCAAGAGAACTTGCTTCCTGCTGGGCTAACCCTTCCTTGAAATCATTAGCCCTTTATTACCCCAGGCCTAGAATTTTTCACAATAATTACTGATAAAAACAAAACAAAACTCTGAGTCAGAGTCCAAGCAGTTCTGTGAGGCGGGCTGCCCTGTTCGGTATCTCAAAGTTTGCTCTGAACCTTCTAAGTGAGGTGACCACCTTACTGCTTATTTTTTTTGTAAAGATTTTATTTTGGGGCACCTGGGTGGTTCAGTTGGTGGGGCATCTGCCTTCGGCTCAGGTCATGATCTGAGAGTCCTAGGATCGAGTCCCATACCCCAAGTCAGGCTCCCTGCTCCATGGGGAGTCTGCTTCTCCCTCTCTCTCTGCTCCTCGCCCTGCTCGTGCTCTCACTCTCATTTTTTAAAGATTTTATTTATTTATTCATGAGAGACACAAGAGAGAGAGCCAGAGACATAGGCAGAGGGAGAAGCAGGCTCCTCGCAGGGAGCCCAGTGCAGGACTCGATCCCTGGACCGCACGATCACGCCCTGAGCTGAAGGCAGACACTCAACCCTGAGCCACCCAGGCATCCCAAAAAGATTTTATATTTAAGATATCTCTACGCCTCTGAGGCTTGAACTCACAACCCCAAGACCAAGAGTCATATGTTCTACCAACTGAGCCAGGCGCCCTCCCACCTTAACCACTTTTCACCACAATAACTAGTGGATTGATTTGAACTGGCAGTGGTATCTTTTAGGCACATAACTGACTTCTTTGGCTAGAGAGGACAGTCTGCTACAGCCAGAGCCCGTTCTCCACCATAGCTGGACACAGTGGTCTGCCTTCGCCTCTCAGGTGATTTTGTATCCCAGAGGAAATGTGTTTGATCTACTGAGCATCTTCAAATAAAAACCAGCCTTATTAGTTAAAATCAGGAAGACTTTTACAGTGACTATTACTGGTGCTCCTCGTTCTGACCAAGACGCTAGTGATGTAAATGTCCTCCCAAAAGTTTCGTCATTAAGAACATTGTTTTAGTGGAAATTATCCCTCACCTGCAGCCCAATTCCAGGACTCTTCAGGAATTAGGACATGTGGACGTGGCTTGTCCTCTAGCCTCACTGTTTTACACTGTGTGCAAGCACAGTTGTGTAATTTCTTACGAGGGGAGCTGGCACTGCAGTCAGGATCTAGAACTTTCTGTCCCTTCAGAAGTTCCTTGTGCCCCCTCTGTGGCTGCCACAGACACACAGGAGACCATGGGTCTGGCTCATCCTCGGGCTCCAGCTGGCCCATCTGAGGACTTGATACCAGTAGAAGCACACGCTGTGTACTCCCTGCTTCTGGCTGCTTTGCTCAGTGGAAGGCTTCTGGGATTCATTCCTGTTGTGCATTTGCTCCTTTTCCTGCAGAGCAGTCTTCCAGGGTAAGAATATCCCACGGCTTCCTAGCTTTTCATCTGTTGGGGGACACGTGGGATTTCCAGTGTGTGGCTTTCGTGAATAAAGGTCCTTTGAGCATGTTAATGTGTGAGCATAAGCTTTCACTTGTGTGTAAATAGCCAGGGAGATGCCACTGGGTCTCGAGATTCCTCTGTAGAGGCGGCTGAGCCCCCAGTGTCACGGTCCTTTACGCCAGCGTCCAACGGGATGTGAACCAGCGCCCTGTGCAGTGTGTGCATCTCCAACGTGTTTTCACATGCTTGTTGGCCATGTGGTTCCTTGTGTCCTGTCCTGCTTTGCTCTTAAAAACTTGAGTTGTGGGCAGCCCCGGTGGCACAGTGGTTTGGCGCTGCCTGCGGCCTGGGGTGTGATCCTGGAGACCTGGGATCGAGTCCCATATCAGGCTCCCGGTGCATGGAGCCTGCTTCTCCCTCTGCCTGTGTCTCTGCCTCTCTCTCTCTCTCTCTCTCTCTCTCTGTGACTATCATAAATAAATAAATTTTAAAAAATTTAATAAAAAAAAAAACTTGTTTTTCTTACACAAATTCTTAGCTTATTCTGTAGTAAAGGCTTTTACTCCACATGGAGGTGATTAGGAAGTGGCACATGGAGGATATTTTCTCCAAATCTGCTTCTTACCTTTCTGTTGTCTAAAGCCACTGTCTAGAGAGCAGCCGCTTTTAATCTAGACGAAGGCCTGTGCATTCTGCCCTAAGAAATCTTGGCCATTTCAAGTTCGCAAAGATTCTGTCCTTTGCTTTTTTCTAGACGTGTAATAGCTTTAGCTTTTACATGTAGGCCTGTGATCCATCTCCAAATAACATTTCAGTTTGATGGGGGAGGTAGGGATCATGATTAAATGTTTCCAAGGCTGCCTCCTTGCTCCGACTCTGTTGAGAAGACTTTTACACCGCACCCTCTGTTTGAGAACCACTTGGTCATAAATGTGTCAGTCTGTTTCCATTCTCCTGCGATGGTCTTGGCATCTGTCTTCATTATTATAGATTCAAAGTCTTGGGATTCCGAGTAGTATAAGTTCTCCAAATTTGTCCTCTTTTTCCCCCCTCCCAAATTTTTTTTTTTTAATTTTAGGCCCTTCTCCATATAAAGTTTATAATCACTTTATTGATTCCTATGAGAGAAGCCTGCTGGGATCTGAGTCCATAGGCAGTTATGAGAGCAGAGCTTACGAATAGTGAGTTTTTCAGCTCATGAATTTTGTGTATCTATCCATTTAGGTTCATTTAATTTCTCTTATATAAATTTATTAATGTTTTAATTCATTTCACTTATTAGAGCCCCTGATTGACTCAGTAATGTGAGTTTTCAGTGTAAATATCTTATCCGTCTTTCACCAAATTTATTACCAAATAATTTTTACTTTTTGTCATTTATGGATTTTTTAACATTTTTAAGGATTTATTTATTTATTTAAGAGAGAGAGCACAAACAGGGGGAGGGGCAAAGAGAAAGGGAGAAGCAGACTCCCCACAGAGCAGGGAGCCCTATGAGGGACTCGGTCCCAGGACCGTGAGATCATGACCTGCGCTGAAGGCCGATGCTTCACCAACAGAGCCACCCAGGTGCCCCTTCTTTCTGCTTTTAATATTGGGGCTCTTTTAGTTGTAAATGACAGATACCCAATCCCCAACTCAGGTGAACAGGGAAACAGGGCTGGTTGGTCCACAGAACAAGGATCTCAAAAAAAAAAAAAGGATCTCGAGAGCACAGCTAGCTGCAGAACCTCATTGCTTTGTTTCCTGGGGGCAGGTGGGTACCTGCAGGCCCAGACCACCACCCCTCCTCCCCAGCAGAGAACTCCCCGCCAACTCTGGCAAGGGAGTCTTGGGGAAGCCTGGGGTCGGCCCAGCCCTGGTTAGGATCCTGTGCTACAACAGTGTGGCCAGTTAGGAAATTGGATGCTTGGCCAGGCTGGTGGCAAGGGGCCATGGAGTTTTATAAAGGTGACAACTTAAAGCCCTCAAAAGAAAACCTGTAAGATGCTGGTACTCAAGTTGACTCACTTGTTAGTGGCAGGGTTGGGGTTTTGAGTCTTTTTTTCATGCTGCAAGAGAATCATTAGATTTTGTTTGGCATGAAAGGAACACCTGCCACACTTCAGCCTTTCAGACCAACTTACAGAAACAGCTGTCGCTTTGAAGTGAGTAAACACGGAGTTACTGATAGATGTCATGTAAGGCAATGGAAGAAAGCCATGCAGGTCCTGTCCCACGGTCTGCAGAGCTGGCCTCCTGATTTCTCACATACTCAGCATGGCTTCAGTGTACCACTCTGTCCCCTGACCCAGTAAGCCTTGGTAACTGGTTGAGGGTGGGAGGTGTGGACAGTGAGCAGACACTCTCTCCATTCTGTCCTCACTGCCTCCTTGGCTCCCACTCTGGTGGGGCCAGGCCCTTCGGCTCTACCTGGAGATCCCTGCCCATCCTAAGTGCTGGCGAGTGGCCACGTCCTCTTTGGTCCCAGGAGGCCCTAATAGGCAAGCAGTCTGCCCGACAAATAAGCCTGGGCCCACCGCCAGCAGCTTCTCAGAATTCGGAGATGTGCATCCCGGCTGCGTCATCCCTCCAGGTCTCCTGCCGGTGCAGGAGCGTACGGTTTCCCTGCGCTCCAGGGCCCTGAGGCCAGCTTAGCTATTAGCAAGCATTGAGATCTCAAGATAATATTCCCAGATATTTATTATCTCCCCTCATAGTCTTTTTGATCTGCTTACTCTGGCATTTTTCCACTTCTGGAAGGAAACCTCACTCAGTCAGATTTGTTTTCTTTCCTCCTCTGTTAAAGCCACCCCAGAGCCACCCTCCTGTTTGTGCACTCACCCGCGGCATGGTTTTCACACCCACTGCCAATGGCTCTTCAATTCTCTTCTCCACACTCAGGAGTAGATGGTTCATTTCCCTGATTATTTCCACTACACGGACATTCACAAGAGAAAAACTTCTCACGTCAGAGTTCCCCTGTTTCCCGCTTGCTGTGTTTTAATGGGTTGCTTAAGATCCAACTCTAAATGTTCATCCAGTACCTGCTGTACACGTGCCAGGCACGGTGCTGGACTCAAAAATCACAGGAGAAGACGGGGCCCTGTATGTAGAACATGTATTCATCTGGTCACTCAGTCCCGTCAGTGTCAGTACAGGATTCACATGTAGCTTTTGCTTAAAATGGATGACTGATTTTATTAAAAACCTATCTGAACCTGGGCAGCCCAGGTGGCTCAGCGGTTTAGTGCTGCCTTCAGCCCAGGGCGTGATCCTGGAGACCCGGGATCGAGTCCCACGTCAGGCTTCCTGCATGGAGCCTGCTTCTCCCTCTGCCCGTGTCTCTGCCTCTCTCTCTCTCTCTCTCTCTGTGTCTCTCATAAATAAAAAATAAAATCTTTAAAAAAAATCTGTCTGAACCTATCATGCCAGACATGGTGGAAATTTCTTCTCCTCTTGGAACATCCTGTGGAAGGCTACATGCGTGTCCTAGTGAGACAGTACTAGTATATTCTTCTTAATATTTCTGGTGCCTTAAATCTCTATACTTTAAATATTTGATTTCTGAAAAACTTAGCAAATAAGAAACTACAAGTTCTCTTTTGGAAATAGGCATAATATGAATTTTGAATAAATAAGAAATAAAGCAGATGACCAAGCTGATTATTAATTTATTTGATCTCTTAAAAATAAGGCATAACATCAAGGTGAAGGCTGCACTTTCTTTGGCTCCTTAACTGTCCCTAAAGAAGCAATTATGTATGAAACTAGCGACAGCTGTTTGTAGGGAGAGGCTGGCTGGCTGAGGGGCCTTTTATCCTCTTTGAATTTCCCACGATGTGAATATCTTACCTATTCAAAAAAATTCAATACTGAGGGGTGCCCAGCTGGCTCAGTCAGTGGTGCACACAGCTCTTGATCTCAAGACTGTGGGTTCAAACTCTACAATGGCTGTAGAAATTACTTTAAAAGTGTGAAAATTAAAATAAATCTTGAAAAAACAGTCATTTAAAAGTTCTGGAGACCAAAATAGTGATAATAGTTAACTCTGGAAATGAGGATTAATTTTTTACTGTTGATCTGTATTTTTTATTATTTCTACAATAAATCTTGTTTTATAATTTAAAAAGTTATTTTACTACAAAAAAGGAATTGTTTGGGGGCACCTGGGGGGCTCAGTGGGTTCAGCATCTGCCTTCGACTCAGGTCATGATCTCGGGGTCCTGGGATAGAGTCCTGCATTGGGCTCCCTGCTCAGCAGGGAGTCTGCTTCTCCCTCCGCCTCTGCCCCTTCCCCTGCTCATGCGTGCACGCTCTCTCTCTCTCTCTCTCTGTCAAATAAATAAATCTTTAAAGAAAGAAAGAAAAAAAGAATTGCTTTAACCTGGTTTTAAATCAAGCATGCCTAAAATCTCTTCACTGTATATTATTGAGTACTGATACTGATATACAGAGGGACCCTTTTATCCTATTTCAGAGTTAATTTAGCATTTCACTAATACCTACTTTATGTTCACCTTTGAAACTGTTAGAGGTACTTGAAAAAATCACTGAAACAAGTACTACATAGATTTTTTTTTTTTCAAATCCATCTTTCAAACCGGAGGTAAGCATTAAGTACAGTCCAGGAAATGGGTTTCCTTTGTGAACGGAAAATCTGCCCTGGCCTCTGTGTCAGGGTTCTGACTAGTTCCGTAGAGAGAACATCCGTTCTGCCTTTATCTGACTCAGGATTGTCCTCAGAATAAAAGATAATTGTCTTAAAGGCCCTTCTAAACTCTGCACAGACCTCCTGTATGCAGAGGAGCCCATCGTGGCTGCTTCTGGTCACGCATCTGCATTTCTGTGAACATCTGAACGGCCTTCTCCACATCTGCTGGGAGTCTGGAACATCACTGTTCAAAATAATTTAAGTGACTATATTCTATAGCCTTTTAATCTTTTATTTTGGGGACTAAAAATGGGGTGGGCGGCTGAAAGGTCATATGGAAAACCCAGGGAACTAGAGCAGCAGGAGAACTGAACTATAGAGAGAACAGGCTGGGGGTGGGGCCTAAAAGCACTGATACAGTTTTCAAAAGCCTCAATAGTTAAAACATTGTGTGGCGCCCGGGTGGCTCAGTGGTTGAGTGTCTGCCTTCGGTTCAGGTTGTAATTCTGGGATTGAGTCCTGCATCGGGCTCCCCCCGGGGAGCCTGCTTCTACCTCTGCCTGTGTCTTTGTTCCTTTCTCTGTGCCTCTCGTGAATAAATAAATAATTTTTTAAAAATATATTAAAACATTGTGATAGTGGAACGTGAATTGACCCTGATACATATATTTTTTTTGTTTTTTAGATTTTATTTACTTATTTGAAAGAGAGCATGGAATGGGGGGCAGGGTATAGAGGCAGAGGAAGAAGCAGACTCCCCTCTGCACAGAGAACCTGATTTAGGACTCAATCCCAGGATCCATGACCTGAGCCAAAGGCAGATGTTGAACCCACTGAGCCACCCAGGTGCCCCATTAATATGTAATTTCTATAAACATTACATAATGATGGCCCCCTCACCAGTGACAGAAGGATGGTGGTTGATGTGGGGGCAGCTGGGAAGCCGTCTCCAGAGCCGAGAGCCAGGCGCACCTTAGGGCAGTCAGAGCTTTAGGTGTGAGAACTGAAACCAGCAAAGTAGAAGACGATGGGCAATCTGTAAGCTCAAGTGGGAAAGACTGAGCATCTGAATCATAAGAATGATTTCTGCGGGCAGCCCAGGTGGCTCAGCGGTTTAGCGCCGCCTTCAGCCCAGGGCCTGATTCTGGAGACCTGGGATCGAGTCCCACGTCGGGCTCCCTGCATGGAGCCTGCTTTCTCTCTCTCTCTCTCTCTCTCTCTCTCTCTCTCTCTCTCTCTCTCTCTCTCTCTCTGTCTCATGAATAAATCTTTTAAAAAAAAATGATTTCTGCACTAAAACATTTGTCAGAGGACAGAGGACCACGGTCACCATGTGGTCCTGGGGGCTAGGAAATCCGTGTGCAGCCATGTCTCACTCATCAGCTGTCTTGTCCCCTGTTCTCAGGACCAGGTGATGTATGAAGCTCTGCGGCAGTCTCTCCACCTGTGACCCCAGAGGAGGCCAGTGTGTCCAGCTGGCCAAGAAGCCCACTGGCGACGTGATGCAGATGGCCTCCCGTCCTGTGTGTGCGTGTTATTCCCAGAGTGATGCAGCTGGTCAGAGCCCACAGGCTTTCCTGTCTGGCCAGCCAGGCATGGAACACCATCCCTTCTCTTTAAGGAAAAGAAAGACATTTAACTTCTGAAATAACCAATATGTTTTTAAAAAATGTTTATTTTGAAAGTCTCCACTGCACTATGGAAGCATTGCAATCACAGTAAAAGTACTTTTCCCTTGAGCTGTCTGTGGATAAGTTGCCACCCTGAGGCCCCATCAGCCCCAAATACTGTGATGTCTCCTGCCCCCCAGGACCCCCAAAGTCAGCCGTCACACTCAGGAAAGTAGCCGCGAGACATGGCCACCGTGTCGACCCCTGCCAGGCGTGTCCCACTGCCCCGGGATTGTCCTTTGTGACAGAAGGGCAAGGAATGTGCTGTTGCGTCTGGTTCTGCTTCACATGAGTTCCCTTCAAGTTGGAGCAGTTCCCCTCTCCTGACTTCTGACACTCCCCCCCCACCCTCCAGGCCAGTTACTTGTTTGTCAGCGGTGTCCTCGTGGTCCCAACCCAGCTACACAACTGTGGCAGGAGTTTAACCAAGTGATGCTGTGATCTCCCTGCGTCCTATCTAGTGATGCAGTCGGGATGTGTCCGGCTCCTTATGCAGTCCCTGTGATCATGTGGGAGAGTGGTCCTGCCAGGCGGCTCCTCTGCAGCTCCTCTGTGGTGGGAGGTACTGGAAACCATGTGCAAACCCCTTCCTCGTCACACTGGCTGTTTCTGTGTTTGCGTGTGGTCCCATTGCTGTCATCCCGTGACCCTCAGACTGCCCCAGGTCTGCCCAACAGGGAGCCCCTCCCGTGCCTGCACACCTCTGACAGGTGCCTGCTGTGTTCTCAAAGGCTGCATCTGTGTTACGTTTGCTGACATCGCTCCTTTACTGTGCTGCTCGCTGTGTGATCTGACCCACGGGTGCGGGGCACTTGCCCTTTTCCTTCCAGAGCTTCCACTCCACCTCACACTATAGAAATTTTTATGCTGCTTGTAAGAATGTAATCCACAGGTACTCTGGGGTGGCTCAGTCAGCTAAGTGTCTGACTCTTGATTTCAGCTCAGGTCATGAGTTTGAGTCTGACTTGTGTTTTTGTTCCCAGGGTGGCATCTGCTTGAGATTCTCTCCCTCTGCCCCTTCCCTGCCATGCTCGCATGTGCTCACTCTCAGGCTCTCTCTCTCTCACAAAATATTTTTTTAGGGACGCCTGGGTGGCTCAGTGGTTGAGTGTCTGCCTTTGACTCAGGGTGTGATCCCGGAGTTCCTGGATCGTGTCCCACGTCGGGCTCCCTGCTTGGAGCCTGCTTTTCCCTCTGCCTGTGTCTCTGCCTCTCTCTGTGTCTCTCATGAATAAATAAATAAAATCTTAAAAAAAAAAATACTGATGACCACGTGGAGAGAGAGCAAGGTCTGACCCGCCCTCAGCCCTGACTGCAAGATCCCTGGCTGCCTCCATGAGGAAGAACGAAGGTCTAAGACTGCATTGAGGCGCTTGGCTTGCAGTGATGTGGAGGGAGGACGTTGACGACAAAGACCACCAAAGATGGGACCCAACCATCTGTGCCACCATGGTCCCCAGCACTGACCGCTCACCCACTTTCCCCTCATTGTCATGCTAACCACTAACATGTTAGCAGGCACGCCACACATGAAGAAGCATAACTTTACCTGCACATGCTTAACCGTCCCGGCTTTCCCTCCTGTCCTCTCCTGGGGGTGGCCCCAGGCCACTTGCCCTTGTTAGGGAGCGTCAGCCCCCGTCAGCTGCCGTCAGCCATCCCCATCAGCTCCCATCAGCCTCCCCGTCAGCCCCATCACCCCCCCGTCACCCCCCCATCAGCTCCCCCTCACCCCTCCATCACCCCCATCACCCCGTCAGCCCCCCTGTCAGGTTAAAGGACTTGCGCTTCCCCCCCAGCTCACCATAAATAAGTGGCGCCTGGAGGCCCCGAAGCCCTGTTGTCCTAGACCCTGCGGGCTTTGTCCACGTGGGAGCGAGCGCCGCGGCTCCTGGGAGACCGTAGTGGGCTCTGCCTCCATCGCTGCTGTGACTCCTCATAACAATAATGTCTTTAAAATAACGGTGACGTGTCCAACCACTATTGGAAACCTCAGGCAGCGGCCACTCACTCTGTGCGAGACAGTCGAGTGTTCAGATGGCCGCCGGGTCTTTCTGAGCTGCTGTCGGTGGAGCTCTCGGGCCAGATCAACCGCGAAGGGGAACCCGAGAACCGGGGGATGTGGTTGAGCGCGGGCAGCTGCGTGTCGGGAAACTGCCGAATGCCCTTGCGGAGCAGCACCCGGAGAGCCACAGGCGCCGCCGCCCAGTCCCAGCGGGGCTCCCAGCGACCGCCTGCTCCACGCCCCAGCGGCGACCTCCCTCAGCGGTCCGCCCCCACCTCCCCCCATCACGGGAGGCCAATCAGAGACCATGTATCAGTCAGTCAGTCAGTCAGTCAGTCAGTCAGTCAGTCATTTAATTCATGAGAGAGAGAGAGAGGCAGAGACACAGGCAGAGGGAGAAGCACGCTCCCTGCGGGGAGCCCCACGTGGGACTCGATCCCGGGTCTCCAGGATCAGGCCCTGGGCCGAAGGCCGCGCTGAACCTCTGAGCCACCAGGGCTGCCCAACTAAGTGACTTTTAAATGGATATGGTGGAGGAGAAGAAACAGCCGCTCCATTGTCCAGCCTCGGCAGTAAGAGATCGAAGGAATCGGGCGCATGTTTGGCTCTGGGGACAGTACGGAACGTGCCCACGTCTCTGCAGCATCACTGGACACGGTGCCGGCTTGTGTGTCCCAGAGTCCACGGGACAGTGGTCGCATCCCCACGAGGCCGCGCCCAGGGGTCCGAGTGCGCGCAGTGCCGCTGCCCTGTGGATTTCCTCTTGGAACATGTCACCTACAGCTTGGCTGTCCCCAGGATGTGCGTTGTAATGCCCACAAAAAACTTTTGAATCATCTGTCAGCATTTCTCAACTCTGGATGACACAAGCATCACCTCATATTTTTCAAAAACATCCCACTTGGGCCTCGCCGCCGACGGGTTGGGTCGGAATCCCCAGGCGATCCCGAGGAAAGCCCCTAAAGCCCCACCCTTGCAGCTTACAGGCGGGGAGCCCCAGAATACACACTAGTGGCGCCCAGGGGTGGGCCTGAGTGTGGCTCCAGGCTAGCCTGCTTCTCCTGCAACCACAAAGGCTCACCACCCTTGAGATGGGGGCTTTTGCCTTGGTTTACCCCCAGCAGCGCATAGGCAGTGGTGAGGACAGAGAATGGACACATACAGGCTCCATGCCTCTCCTCCAGGTCACAGAGCAGCCTGAGTGCCATGTCCCTCAGCCCCGGAGAGGGGAGCAGAGCTGGGGTCTCTCCTGCACCACCTCCTCAGCACCCAGAAATAGCTCACATACCCTCTAAGGCCATAGCACCCTGTGGAGGGCGCCTAGGCCTCATCTCATGTCTGGCTGCACCTGCATTGGATGCACCCCCCACCTATGCTTGTGCAAAGGGCCTGGGGTTGCCATTTACCTCTTCCTGCAGGTTTTCCATGGGCAGGCCAGCACTAACCTGAGTTCTGAGTCTTCTGCAACCCCGAGCCCAGCAGTGGGCCCTCTTCCAATAGCCCCCAGGGAGGTGTGGTGGGTCTGGGGCAGCTGGAGCCCCAGGTGAGCACCCTTGGGCAGCGTTGTCTCCTTCCGTCCCCTCCACCCTTCAGAAAACTATCAGGATGTGCTCCACCAAGAAGAGGGAGAAAAGCAAGAAACAGAATGTGGGGGATGACGGGGCCCCACCCGGGGGGAGACCACTGGCCAGCCTGCAGAGAGGCTTGGAACACAGACCCCGTCACAGGTTATAGCCACAGAGCACGCGACAGCCTCCTACAGTGTTTTGAACAGGAAGACAGGATGCCCAGCGTGTGCCTGGGCCACTCATTTCTCTAGTCTTCTGTGTGTTCCCTGCAGAAGTGAGCCCCTCGTTCCCACGCACGGAGCACAGGGATCTCTGCCTCTGGCAGCCAGCGCAGGTCTGGAGGCAGGACGGCCATAGCAGCCCCCTCCCTTCTGAGCATGTGGCTGCCGGACGGATAGCACCTTGTTCCCACTGCTCCCCACTGTGTGCGTTTGGGGGGCCCTGGGGCTCCCCAAGGAGGCTGAAGCCAGCTCTGCTCACCCTGCTTCTGGGGAGGGCCATAAATGTATGGCCCTTGCCCTACAAACAGAGGTTTGCACTTGCTCAGCTTTTTGAGGCAAAACTATGAATTTTTTACAGATGCACACATGTGTGCAAAGGCAGCTGCCACATGATTCCATTTGTAGGGGGAATCTGAAAAACAGACACAGGCTCCTGAACACAGAGAACAAACAGGTGGTTGCCAGAGGGGGCGGGAGTGGGTGAAATGGGTGAAGGGCGTCGAGAGCACAAACTCCCAGTTATAAGATAAACCAGTCACGATGTGAGGCACAGCTTGAGGACCTACACTGTACAGTGGCTGAGGGTGAGCAGGGTTAATGTGCAGAATCGTGGGCCTGAAATGAGCCTAACAGTGTATGTTGACTATGCGTCAATTAAAAAGAAGTTTTCTAATGAAAAATTTTGGGGGTGCCTGGGTGTCTCAGTTGAGTTCTTGGTTTCTGCTCAGGTTGTGATCTCAGGGTCCTGGGATCAAGTTCCACGTCGGGCTTCACCCTCCGTGGAGAGTCTGCTGGAGATTCTTTCCCTCTCCTCTGTCCCTCCTGCTTGCTCACACACGCTCTCAAATAAATCTTTTTTTTAAAGAATTTTTCTTGACACCGGTGTGAAGAAATACCCTAAGTGAATAAACGAGATACATTTACAGTGATTTAGAAGATACGGTGCTCTTTCCTCTCAAAATGAGTTTGATTTCTGCTTTCCTCAAAAATCTCAATAAAACCCTTTCATGAAGAACTTTGAAAAAAGAAAGATGCACAAAAGTCAGGATAGTGGTCCCGTCGGCGGGGGCAGGGGGGATGGCGTATGTCAGGGGCACTGCCCGGGGTCCTCTGCGCTGTGTGTTTTTCTTCCATCTTCTTTTATCCAGTTTATTCAGGTGAAGACACACACGCAGAAAGGGACTTGATGAGGTTGGAGATAACTACCCACCTATGAAACCATTACGACAGTCTGTGCCATAAACCTGTCATCATCTCCTGCCCTCTTAATTTTCT